TACCCCTAAAAAATTAGATTCTAAATCTTAAATTCATTCAAATTTGAAAGTTGAGGCAGGTGAAGAAAGAGTTAGGGATGTGGTTGGACACTTTTTTCTCAACAATCTTTATAGTGCACTTCTAGGTTGTCTTATAGATTAAAATTACTAAGAATTTAATTAAATTGATATTCATTAGTTTAAATTTTTAATTTAAAATCAAAATCGAAGATTTTAATCTCTATAATAACACGCTGCTAACCTTCTAAATTAATGATCCCATTTAGCCTTTAAGTAAGAAATTATTTGTGACTTTTAGTTGGTTATGATTGGGTTAATTATTAGACTTTGTAAAAGAAGTTATGATCTTATTGATACCTTGTACTGTAGATATGTTTGAAATTTTTATTCAAAATTTAACATAAATAGCATATAGATATAATTAAAATTTTTTATTAAGTAAATTTACTAAAGAAGAATTAAAGACAAAAAAAATGAAAATTCACTTATTTTTAAAATTTTTTTAAAGTTTAAAAGTTAATTAAATTAAAATTATTATTGTTAAAATGAAGGAGTTATATATAAATGACAATTTTTTTATAGAGAGAAATTATTTATTATTCTCTCTATTATAAAATAATTGTTATTTTTTACTTTAAATTTATCTTAAATTAATTCTTTTTTTATAAAGAAAATTTTTTTATTTTTTAATATATATAATCAAATATTTCTATCTTACTTAACACTATCATTACTCTTTTATTTTAATTATATATTTTATCACCAAAAATCTTTATATTTTGTCTGTTTTTAATTTTTTAATTTATTTTAAAAGATAATATAGGAAAAAATATAAATTATTTCAAATCCTTAATATGTAGAAAGAATTAATTTGAGACAAAAAATTAAACAAAAACTGTGTATTAAAAATTTTTAATTATCATTAATTTAATATATGTTTAATTTTTAATTAAAATTTTTATTTTAAAAATTAAAAGTCAAATTAAAAATATGTTTGAACGGAGGAGTATATAATTTTGCGTTTGTTAAATTTTTTAATTTTATTTTTTTAAAAATTTTTATTTAGTTTGATTATTAAAAAATTAATAAATAATAGAATAGTTTATATTTATAATTAACAAATTAAAATTAATTTATAGGCAGTTGTTTCAAACATTTCCTTAAAAAATTAAATTAATAAAATAGCAGTTAAATTATATGATCCTGATATACAATAGTGTGGCCATAACCATACCTTACTTAAAATGAGAATATTAAATGATATATTTTTTTATTTAACACGTTTATTAGAAAATTAATTTTTATTGAATGGAAACTTATGATTTTTGAATTTGGTTAAAAACAGGAAAACTTAGAGGCACAAATTTCAATAGTTGAATTAATAAGTGTTAATTGATTTGTTAAACTTAAGAATATATCAATTATTTCTTTTAAAATGTTGTTTTGTTTAAAGTTTAGAAAATGATTAATACACTTTTTAGTTTGACACCCGTTTTGACATTCATTTAATTCAATTATTAAAATATAATATAAATACAATTGATCCAATTGATTCATGCATATTATATGTATGATTATATCTTTAAATTTATTTATTTTTAATTTTATGCCAAAAATAATAATTTTTAAATAAATATGTTGTGTATTATGTTAAATAAGAAAAAAAATTATATTAATTTCTTAAAATTTATAAAAACTTTCAGAGAGTGATTTAAAAGCATAATTTAAGGGTATAACAAATATATATATTTTTATTAATTCACATAAAATTTTGTAAAATATGACTGTTATATTATTATGATTAACACACGATTGACGCATAAATAATTTTAATTGATTAATGAATAATTTTAATTGATTAATTGATTAAATTAAAAACAATATTTGTACTTTTAATATAAATGAATTATAAAAAATATATTAATTACACTTTTTAATATGTGTCATAAGAGTATATGATAAAAAAATTATTTTCTATTAAAACCATTAATTATACCATCTCTCATTTTTAATTATGTTCAGCTCATTTTTAATATGTACTGCTTATTTTTAATATGACATAGTAAACATTCTAATGTAATGGACTGAGTACTTATTGTACTTATAGCTTATAATACATATTTATTCATAAAAAAAAAAAAAAAAAAACGAATTATACCATCTCTCCTCTTTGGAATCGATAATCAGTTGACCTTCTCTCTCTTTTCCTCGTGTCCTTTCTCTTTCTCTTCGCTCCCATCCGCCTTGGAATCCATTAAGAAATTTCCGGTGAAGAAAAACACCAGTGCAACACTTACTCCTCATTTTAAGCGACCCAACAAAGCTCATCTATTTAAATTCTCCAACGAACCTTCAAATTTAGAAAAAAGAAAAGAAAAGAAAAGAAAAAAATCTTCAAACCTTCAAATTTTCATTTCCCCTAAATTTAGATTCTTGCTGGCAGTCGTATAATATTAAGGTTGGAAACATCCAATTTCGATGTAAATAAGGCTACCCTAGTCGGTGTTATTTGTGTATTTCCTTTACCCTCTTCCTTTCCCAGTTTTTGCTTCTTGATTTCCCCTTTTGTGCGTCAAAAATTGATGGGTTAAAGCCAACTATAGTCCTTATACTTTGTAAAAATGTTCATTACCGTCTCTTCACTAAGGCAATGTTTATTTCCATCCCTCTGGTTTCCTTACACCATAAATGCATCCCTCTACTATACTTTTTTTGTTCATTGTCATCCTTAATTGGATGCCATTCATTTTGTCGTTAACTTGGATTGTTAATTACCTAACAGTCAAACATTCAACTTTTTTTTTTTTCTAAGAACACATATTAATGATACTTTTTTGTAATAAATTTGCATAAGAAAATGTAAAAGTAAACATTAATTTTAGTATCATTATCATATGGATACATTTAATTAGATAGTGATAAATTGGATATTACTTTTTATTTTTTTAAGATTTTTAACCTGTATCCTAAGGATACCAATTAAAATAACTCTTTATTTATTAATTTTTTATCCACCTAGTGGGACTAGTGGGACCAATTCCTTTTTTTTTTTTTTTGGTTCTATATTATTCTTTCTGGTTTTAGCACTTAAACTAACGGAATTCGTTAACTATCCGTTAAAATGAGAATAAAATAATTATAGCATTAATCCTCAAAGATTAAAAATGTAACAATTTAGTTCTAAAAGTTCAAAAATTATAAAAATTAGTAAAAAAGAATTAGTAGATTATTTTTTCACATATACTAAAATAGCATTAGATATTTATAATCAAATCGAGTGATTAGCTCAATTTGAAGAAATAATTTTGATTGAAATAATTTTGATTGAAATTAAAGAAAATTTCTTAACTAAATTAAGATAAAAAATTTAAGAGACTAGAAAAATATAACTAAGAAATTTTCTTTAATCATAGTCAAAATTTTTTAGTTAGATTAAGTTAATCACTTGATTTAATTATAAATGTCTAATATTGTTCTCATGTATGTAATAAAGTCATTCACTAACTATTTTTAAGTTATTAATTTTTTTAATATTTAAACTTTTGGAACTAAATTGTTATGTTTTTAATTTTTAAAAATTAGTCTTATAAATATTTTTTTCATTTTAACAGAGAGTTAACAAATTTTATTAATGAATAAAAAACTAATAAACAAAAGTTAAATATTTGACTGTTAGGCAATTAATGATCACAGTTAACAGCAAAATAGATGGTATCAAATTAAGGATGACATCTAACAAAAAAGGAGTAGTAGAAGGATGACATTTACGATGTAAGAAAAGTAGAGGGATGATATTAAACATTGCCTTAGTAGAGGGATGGTAATCAACATTTTCACAAAGTACAAGAACTATAGTTGGTTTTAACCCAAAATCGATACTTTAATTTGTCCCTCACCTTATCGATTTTGGGGTTTTTGTATCCCTCACGTTTTAAAATAAGGATGTTTTGTCCTTTTACTTTTCAATTTGAGTAGAAGGGACAAAATTTTACCTCTTGTTATGCATAGCCCACTGTTACTGTGTCATCTCAGCGCTACTTGAGCATCAGACCATGATCACATGGGTACCCCATTTTATATGTTGTTTGGCAGACAGAAACTTATATATTGCCTTTTATCTTATTGATTACGAGGATTTTTGTTTATTATAATGTACAAATTTTTCTCATCTAACTTGTCGATTTCTTCGGCAAAAAAAAAAAAACTTGTCGATTTCAATAAATGAGATAAAATTTAATATTTAATGGTCAAGCGCAACACATTAACCTTAAAATTTTGTTATATGATAATACATCAATATCATATAAAATCATTTTTACATGTAAGCGACATGCCAATATCAACTTGGACTTATTCATTTTTGCCATGGACCGCCGCTCCTCTATTTAATTACGAGACAGCCATGTAAGTCAGTCCCCAGTTTTCGTCTTTCTATTATTTTTCCATTGGGTAATGACAAATTAAATTTAGAACATGATTTCTCTGACCTGCTGTTGGTGCCTGTAAGGGCAGCCATACGAGACAAGTTAAAGCGCAGAGCTCAGAGCTAGCCGCACCTCGGCTGCAGAGCTCAGAGTTTATTGCACCTCGGCACTTCGCCGTGGGTGTATGACAGCCACAATAGGCACGCCCCCATCTGATCGTTTGTCCGTATCAGAACACCCCTTCTCAAGGAACCTGCTCCGTCAGAACGCACCACGCGCATTTAATGCGGTTGCTCCGTTAAGGCACGTTATACTCACCTAAAACGTCTACTCCGTCAGGCGCACCATGTCACCATTATTGGATTGACTAAGCCACGTGGGTGTGGACAAGCCACGTGGGTGCCTTGCCAAGCGGGACAAAGCCCACAAGGTAAGGCTCGATAAATAGGTGGAACAAAAAGAGGAAGGATGATCAGAAAATACTGACTTAAGCATCGGAGTTTCTCCCCGAGGACCAACCTCGGGATTTTGCAGGACCATCTGGAGAAGGATTAACTCGAAGCAGGAACTCAAGGATATTTAGCAACTACATTGGCGCCGTCTGTGGGAAACGAACAAAGGTCATCACCAGAAGTTAAGATGGTACACACACGAGCAACCCAGCGCGAGAGTCCTCCCCGAGGCCAAGGAAGAGTCCAGCCCCCAAGTGTCAACCCCGTGTCACAGAATGCACCGGTTGCAGCCCCCTAACATCAGCAGACGGAGGGGGTTGGGGAACATAATCCACAATACCCCAACGCCGTAGCAAGCGACCCTGTGACCGCTCAACTCAATGCCATGCAACAACAATTTGGGCTCTTCCAGCTAGTACTTGCCCAGCTGTTGGCCAGAGATAACCCTGCTGACCCGCTTATTCACTTATTGAACCCAGCTTCCCCCGTGGCTCCCCAACCAGTTCAACAGCCTGTCAACTCCCCGGTCCGCAGCGTCGCCCCGACCGCTTCCCAAGCACAATCTCACATACCACCCCAGCCACAAAACCCACCTTAACCAGCTACCTCAGATGTCTCAAAGAGGCTAGACAACCTAGAAAAGCTGTTAGCTGAGAACAAAAATCCACAACCACAGACCCCACCTATATCAACCTCCATCCCCAATCCTGTCAATACTAAAATTACCCAAGAGCCATATCCACCCGGTTTCAGGATGCCGCAGTTTGAAACGTATGATGGCACCAAAGATCCCGATGACCACCTACATGCATTTTTCTCCGTCATGCGGGCTCAAAACGCCTCAGACGCACTCATGTGCAAGATGTTTCCCTCCACATTGCGCGGCAATGCTTGGACCTGGTATCACACTTTGCGCCCGAACTCAATTAATGCATATGTCGAGCTGGCCACCCTCTTTACCACCAAATTCTCGAGCAGAAGGTTGATCAAAAAGACGACACCCGAGCTCATGCGCATAACACAAAGAGAAGGCGAATCCTTGAAGAATTACATGAACAAGTTCAATGACGCCATGCTAGAGGTCAATGCCTTCGATGAAGCAATGGGAGTAACTGCCGTGATACAAGGCCTCAACCATGATCGATTTCGAGATAACTTGATCAAGAACACCCCAACCACTTTTGACGAAGTCAATCAGAGATCCCTCAAATTCATTAAAGCCGAAGAGTACGTCCTTTCTAAGCCCCAGCCCCCCAAAGAAGCTAGAACTCCTGCTTGGAGAGAAGAAGGGCAGAGTAAGAAGAAGTTCAAACCCACACAGAACCGAGGCCCAATTCTGGTTCCCAAGCTAGACAGGCCCGGCTCCAGCGCCCTGCAAACGCGGCCTAGGCCACCTTTATGGACCTCCTTCACAGTTCCGAGATCGCAAATTCTTATGCAAATAAAGAATAAGATGGAGCTGAGGAGACCAGCCCCCCTACAGAGCCCAGCGGCAAGCAGAGACCACACCAGATATTGTGACTTTCATCAAGATCACGGACATACCACAGAAGATTGCAAAAGTTTGAAGTTAGAGCTGGAAAGCTTGGCCCGGAAAGGAATGTTGAATGAATATATCCAGAATATAAGTTTGCAAAAGTTTGTCAAAGAACAGGGGCAACCCCAGGGGTCCCGAGCAGCAAACAACAAAGATGGAGTAGGGTACCAGCAAGCACCACCACCTCTCCCACCCCCATCCAGAATTATTCACATGATAACAGGCGGACCCGAAGCAGGTGGCACAAGCGCCAAACAACAAAAGCTGTACGTGAGGGAGGTCAAACACCATAATGCAGCCAAGAAAAGAAAGATCGACGAGGAGGATTGGAAAAACCAATCTGTGACATTCACTTCGGCCGACCTCGAGGGGGTCGTCACGCCCCACAATGATCCATTAGTCACCTCGGTCATCATTAACAACTGCGAGGTCCAGCGTGCGCTCATTGACACCGGCAGTGCTCCAGACATAATGTATTATCATTGCTTTGAGAGCCTCGACTCGATCCTGCCCTCCTGCAAAAGTATGATGGGCCCATCTACGGCTTCAATAACCAGCCGGTACCCGTGGAAGGAGCACTATGGCTCAACGTGGCGTTTGGCTCCAGACGGACGTATGTAACTCCCCCAGTCCGATTCCTGGTAGTGAAGATGGCCTCATCTTTTAATCTCGTCATCGGAAGATTCGAGCTGT